AAATAGGGTATGTGGGTTTATGGCTTACATGTGCAGTTTGTGCTTACGTGTGGTTTGTGTGTGCATTACTTGGGTGGTGGTTTTGGTGGATGTGTGTGATTTATATACGCTTGTGTGTGAGTGATTTGTGTGTATATGTGTGTAATGCACAAATGATTTGTGGATGTGGTGATTGGTGTGTATATGTGCAGTGTGTGTACCTCTGTGTGATGAGTGTGATCTGTGTGATTATGCGTGGCATGTAGTTTGCGTGTGATGAGTATAATTTGTCTGCGATATGTGTATGGTGTGTGTGGCTTTTGTGCAGTGTGTGCACACATGTGGTGTGTGGCGGTTATGTGTGTGCATGTATGGTATATATGGTTTATATGAGCTCTTGTGCATGTGTGGCTTATGTGTGTGGTGTATGTGTGTATGTGGTGTGTGCAGTTTGTGTGTATGGTATGTCTGTGTATGTGTGATATTTGTATGCACAAGTGTAGTGTGTGGTGTGTATGTGGTGTGTGTGATGTGTATGTGCTATTTGTGTGCACATGTATAATGTGTGATATGTGGTGTGTGTGTGATGTATGTGTGGTATTTGTGTGCTATGTGTATTTGTGTTGCCTATATTGATTATATGTATGATACGGTGTGTGTTCCTGTGTAGTCTGTGTGTGTACATGGTGTCTGTGTTTACATGGTATGTGGTGCTCACGCATATGTGGTCTGGCATGTAGTTATGTGCACGTGTAATGTGGTATGCCTGCATATGTGCACGTGTAGTTTGTCTGTATGTTGTGTGCGTATGTGGTGTGTAGTGTGGTTGGTTGTGAATGCATGTGTATTTTGTGTGTGCATGTGTGGTGTGTAAGCGTATGTGGTGTGCCTGCATGTGTAGTTGATGTGTGCCTGTGTGGTGTGGGATGTGGTGTGGTCTGTGTGTGTGTTGTGTGCATATGTGGAGCAGTGTGGTGCGTGGTGTGGTATGTAATGTGTGTGGTGCACCTGCCTGTGTGTGCCTGGCTAGCGGGATGCCTGGACATCGTCACTACCTTGCGTGTGTGCCCTGCACTCCATGGTAGGGCCGTGGCCCCGGGGAGGGTCTGGCGGCCAGAGGCCCCGGCAGGCCTGGAAAGGCCCAGATGACCGTCACTGCCTGCTCACACGGGCCACGGACAGGTTTGTGTATCTTCCTGGAGACGCGGCCTCGGGAAGCGAGAGAGGGAGAGGCCTCCCTCCACTCCCAGCCCAGCCTCTCCCGCCCGCAAGCTCCTGCCCACCCCTGCCTCACCTCGGGGACTTTCTCGGCCTAGCTCTGGTGCCCCTGGGGCGACCCTCTCCAGCAGCTCATGCTGGACACTGACCCCAACACCAGACTCGCTGGCTTCTATCACTCCCTTCAAGGCCTTGGCATTCTCATCTGTAAGATGGGGGGTCGAAACCGGGAAAGCTTCCGGCTGTGGCAATCAGTGGCTGAGTCTCACACACGCCCCTGTGTCTGCAGCTGGCAGGGTCAGTACCCCACACACCTACACACCCACACCCACACACCACACACCACGCACACACGCCAGACATACACATCATACATACACCACACACACACACACACCACACACACCCCAGACATACACACCATACATACACCACACACACACACTTACCACACACACACCACACACACCACACATACCTCAGCATACACATACCACACACACACACCACACACACACCCCAGACACACACCACACCACACATACCCCAGCATACACACACCACACACACATGCCAGACATACACACCACACACATACCACACACCACACACACTGGGTTGCTTTTGTGAGGTCCACTTGGTCCCACAGACCCCCAAGCCTGCAGCCTGAGCCCACGGCCCTTCCCAGCTGTCCTGTCTGCCTTCCTGCCCACCCCCAGCTGTGTCTCCCTCCCTCCCTCTCTCCCTTCCCTTGTATGGAAACCACAGGCGCCTGCGCTGCCCCTGAGATGCCGAGGGCTGTTGTCGCCCTCCACGCACAGCCTTGGGACTGATCTCTTCTTGCCCCCTTGGGCCCCGGAAGCTGTTCCCCAGTGAACGTTGGGAAATGGAATTGTGAGTCAGAGGGGCGTGCTGTCTCCTTAGGGTTTCCTCTGCCCTGGGGGAGGGGTCCGTTTCCTGCATGCTCCAATCCCTCCCCTGCACCCCTCAGCCCCAACTAACACTTTCACTTCATTTGTCCTAGGGAACATACCACTTTTCACTTTTTACATTTATTTTGGTTGGGGGCCACACCCAGCGGTGCTCCTGGCTGACTCCTGGCTCTGTGTTCCGGGATCCCTCCTGGCAGGGCTGGGGGGTGGGGGTGGGGGGACATAGTGCAGGGCGTTGGCCAGGGTCAGCTGCCTGCAAGGCGAGGGCATTGCCCACTGTGCTCTCGCTCCAGCCCCACTTTTGAAAAAATCATTTATGAATATGCTACTTTCTGTTTATGTAAATTTCACGAGGGGGGGGAGTCTGTGCTAGACTCACTTTTCCTTTTCTTCCACATTATTCATTAAGCTTAAGAGTACAGCAGGACAGAGCCGTGGATCGGTGAAGGGTTCAGACTATAAACCAAGGAGTTGGGGGGTTCCCCGGTGGCAGAGATTGGGGGTGTGATGGCTATTGATTTGGGGTGAAGATGTGGGCAGGGGCTCCTCATTCACCGTCATCTCCAGATCAAAGATGCCCACTGCTAGCCGGTGACCCAGCGATAGGGAACCCAGCTGTCTCGATTCGATCCTGGCACTGGCCCGGCATTGATTGGTGGCGGGTGACAACACGTGCTGGCCTCTGCCCATCCTGACTGTGTACCGAGGGCTCTTCCCGACCCAGCGGCCTCCGCCCGACCCCACTTCCGGGGAGAGATCTGGAGGCAGTCACGCTTTCTTTGGGGCTACCTGACCCACCCCCGGCCCACCCCCCAACACCACCCCTTGTCACCCCAGCAGTTCCAGGCTGACTCACTTTCTAAATAAGCCACGAGGCGCTTGGGTCTGACCTCACAAGTGGAGGAATGAGTAATTCTTCAAGGCCCAGAATTCCACTCAGTTGGAATGAGAGGCCGTGCGTGTGTTACTCACAGTGGGAGGATAAGGGCTCCCCGCTACCAACCACCCGGGATCTCCACCCCGCCCGTGTCCTGGGGGGTGTGGAGGGAAGGGGGAAGGTGGGGGGACAGTGGGGAACTGTATGTTCGTCTCCTGATGACAGTTCGGGCAGGTTGACGAATGATTTGGGGTGAAGATGTGAGCAGGGGATCCCCATTCACCACCGTCTCCAGATCAAAGATGCCCACAGCTAGCCAGTGACCCAGCGTTAGGGAGCCCAGCCCTGGCACCACTCGATCCTGGTACATTGATTGGCATTAACTGGTGGCAGATGACAACATGGCGACTTTCTGGCCGCTGGCCATCCTGTGTACCGAGGGCTCTTCCAGACCCAGCAGGGCACACCTCTAAAGGAGAAGGGAGCAAGGGCGTGATTCCTGCACCCAGTCCCGGGGCCCACCGAGTGCCCTCCCAGCCCTCCCAGCATCCCTGCCTCTCAGGGCACCTACCGCAGGCTCTTGGGGAGGTGGGCGGGGAGTACTTGGAGCAGTGCCTGTGTGAAACGTCGAGGGCGTTTTTGTTGCTCTGAGCAAAGCTTCCCTCCGCCCACACCCATGTGGATGCTCACGGGAAGTGCTCAAGAAACATGTGCACAGTGGGATGAGAGGGTCCTGGGGGAAAGGGGCAGGCTGCTGGCTGCAAGTGGACATGACCTTGACGGTTGGTGACCTGGAGCACAGGTGTCCCCCTGTACCTGTTGAGTCCTTCCTAACGCTTTGTCCCCTGATGAGTGTCGCAGGGCCCAGGGGCTCCCCTCGACTGCATCACCTGTCAGTCGTGGCTCCTGAGAAGCGGGACAGGGGGAGGGCATTGGTCCCCTGGCCTGCGGGGCTCGCTGGGTGACTGGTGAGGCATTTGTGGGGTGCCTTTGCAGGTGCACAGTGTGCAGGAAGTGATTGGGGGAGCCCACGGGGTGTTTGTATCTGGAGCATCTGTGATCTCTGATGAGGGTGCAGGGAGCTCCGCAGCAGCCAGGGGTCCCCAACATCACCTCCGCCATGGTCTGGGGGACTCCGGGCACCACGACAGCTAGGCCTAGCCTCGTGGGCAGCCGTGGACTCCAGCAAGGAGCTCGAGGAAGCAGCTGCGAGTGGACCGGCCACCACAGACCCGTGTCCACCCGATTCCCACACTCCGGCGGGCGCTGGCCGGGCGGCCGAGGGCGAATCAGAGGCGGGGACGCGGCCGCTTTGAGGACACCAAACGGTCGGCACGTTTATTGGAGACGACACAGCACTGGGAGCTGCGACCGAGCATGCATCCTGCTGGCCCGGCCGAGCTGGCCCCGCCGGGAGTCCAAGGGCCGGTGGGGAGGGGGCTTCGCAGCTGCTACACGGGCGTGACAAAGGCTACGGCATGACACAGTCCTGACACTCAGCGCCAGCGGGCACGTGAGGGACGTGGGTGCTCCGGGAACGGGCCAGAGGACGGGGGCGGGGCATGCTGAGCACGGGTCGGAGCACTGCGTCGGGAGCCCCGGGGAGACGGGGACGGGAGGACAGGCTGGCGCTGTCACGGTAAGGCCACTAAACGCACAGCGGGCGGGCAAGGACCTCAGAGAAGCCCGCGGGACGAGGGGAAGCAGCTCCGGTCTCCGGGCGTCGGGCGCCCACGCACGCACGCCTGTACCACGTATGCACGCACAGATGCACGCACGCCTGTATCACGTATGCATGCACGGATGCATGCACACCTTACCACTAACGCACGCATGTGTGCACGTATGCACGCACGCCTGTACCACGTATGCACGTATGCACGCGCGGATAAACGTCTGCAGGTATGCACGTATACACACACCTGTACCACGGATGCACGCACGGATGCACGCACGCACGCGTATCTCTGAGCTGCGGAGCATCACTGAGCACAACGGGGCGGAAGGGGCACCACGCGGTCAGAGGGGCACGGCGCGGGGCAGGGCCCGCAGGGCGGGGCGGCTGCTGGCGGCCACGGGCTCCGTGTCGCCGCCTCTTGGGGCCCGGGGCTCCCGGGCGGCTAGTCTGCAAAGAGGCTGGCAAAGGACTTCCTCAAGCTCCGCACGGTGTCCGCCTTGGCTTCGTCGTCACCAGCCGAGGAGCGGAAGAAGGAGGACTCGGAGAAGCTGAAGGCGTTGGTCAGGGACCGCGACTTGCTTGGGGATAAAAACCAGAGAGAAGGTGAGCGTGGGCCAGGGCGGGGACACGCGGGCACGCGAGCGGGACCCCCATCCCTGGGAGACCAGCGCCCCGGACTGACAGACGGGCCAGCGGGGAAGGGGTGGCAGAGCGCGGGGAGGGGCAGGTTTGGAGCTGCCTTTATCCACCCCCCTCCGAGACCCAGGTCTGGCCCCTGCTGGGGAGCCTCCGCCCCTGAGGGTACGCCTGCTCCAGGACCCGCACCAAGGCCGCTCCTGGCCCTAGCCAGCTCCTGTCTCTGATTCCAGAAGACCCTTCCGGGCCAGCAGGCCCCAGTGCCTGGCTGTGTGGATGACAGTTCTGCTTGGGGTCGGGTGGCCCCTGGGGACAGTGTCAGACTACCCACTTTCCAGTAAAAATCCCCACATCGCCTCCATCATCGGGACTGAGTTTCTGCCTTGAAAAACTAGCAGGCTAGAGAGAAAGCTTTGCTGGGCTCCCCCACGTCTAGAGGGTCCCCCTTCCTGACACTGGAGTCTCCCCCCTACTCATTGCACCTGGAGCCTCAGAACTCCTGCCCTTTCCTGAAGTAGGGGGTGCGGTGTGTCTCCTGCAGGGGAGGGTCAGACCCCCTGCCTCACACTCGGGCTGCGGGTGACCCTGGGAGCTGCCAGAAGGAACTGTCGGCTGCCCGCAGGCAGGGGGGAGGTGTGCTGGGGACCCTGGCCAGACTCAGGAAGTGTTGGGGGGGTCTCAGCCAGCAGGTATGTGGGTGCAGGTGGGACAGAGCTGGGGTTCTTGTCTCTGTCATGGGTGCCTGAGGTGAAAATCTCACCAATGGGGGGGGGGGGGCACTTGGTGGGATGGGACTGGGTCTGGGAGGCACAGGAAGGAGCAAGGCTGGGAAGGGGTCAAGGGGTCCCAGTCAGGAAAGGCGAGGAAAACTACATCAGGCCATCTCTAGGGGCTCACATGGGCCCAGAACTCTGCACCCCGTTGGCCCCTCCCTGCAGACCCCCAGCCCTTCACTCTGAGCAGCTCCCATGGACCCCCAAGGGATGGCGGTCTGTCAGGCACTGACCAAAGACTGGCCTGGCTCTGGAGGAGTGGGCTCGACCCTGGCATTGGGGTGTGGCGTCAGGAGTCTGCCCCTCCCCCATCTGATTTCCAAGACCAGAATCAGGATCCTCAGGGTGGGGGTGGGGGGCTTCCAGGGCTGTTGCTGGACAGGACTGAGTGGCACAGGCCAACCCCATCTCCTTCACAGGCTGAAAGGATGGGACCCTTGCCCAGTGCCTTTCCCGGCAGCTTGTCGCCCCCCTGAACTCTGAGTCAGGCAGGTGGGAAGTGTCTACAAGTTGAGATGGGGGGGGGGACCTGGGAAGCGGGGGGGGGGGGGGTGTCAGGACACGCATTTCTTTAAAATCGCCCTAAGCTAGCTCACCGGGAGATGAGACATCGGCTCCCAGGGAGAGAGAAGCTTCCAGCAAGCACTTCCCCTTCCCTCCTGGGTCAATCCCAACCGGAAAGGGCTCCCCCCACCCTCGGAACAAATGCCCGATCCCCCAGCCCGTGGGCACTGCGCGGGGGGTGCCGAGTCTCTTACTTGAGCTGTGGCTGAGGCTGGGCCTTGGGGGCCGCAGCCGCGGGGACTGGCGGGGTCTCGGCCAGGGAGTAGCTGCTGGAAGGCGCGTCTCCGCGGGTGCTGGGGCCACCGGGCCGCGGCGGAGCCGAGGAGGAAGAGGAGGAGGAGGAGGAGGAGGAAGAAGAGGAGGAGGAGGAGGAGGAAGGTGGCAGTGATGGCTCCCGGGAAAGCCGGCGTGGCGGCAGCGCCTTGTCTGGGGGCTGCGTTCCTTGGGGTTGCCCGGGGCCCCCTAGGTTCAGTACAAGAAGAACTTCATAATTTGGCCCTGTCAGAGCTTCTGCGCTAGAATCTACACCTCGCAGGGAACGGTCTGCGCTGCGCGTGGGGACCAGCGTGTCACGAGCACCCGCTGGCTCAGACCTCCCGCCAAGCCCCCCCCCCCCCACCAGTGCACAGCCCACAGCAGGGGCCATGGGGAAGAGAGCATGGAGGGGTACCCGGAGCAGCCGCCAGAAGTCCCCCCCCTCCTTCTCCGGGACAGGCCATGCCGCCCCCAGCACTGCGCAGAGGAGAGAGCGGGGGACTGGGAACAGGGATGCCCACGCAGAGCCCGGGACAGAACCCCTTCCAGCCACCCCGCATCTCCAGGGCCTTGGGGAGGTGAGGTGGCAGGCAGGAGGCCTCATCCCAGTGACCTTTCAAGACCATTGTGGCAGCCCAGTATGTCCTTTGAAACATACTCGGGGCTTTAGGGCCTTTGGTGTGGCCCACACCAGGCCCCCCGGGGCTCTCCTGCCCACCCCACCCCGGACCTGCGCCCACCTCCAGGAGGCTCTCTGGCCTCCTCACACACTCTTGACGTTCTCCAGAACCCCAGTGCCACACTGAGGGCGCTCTCTACAGCCAAGAGTCCCTCTGGGGGCCAGCGTCCCACCAAGGTGGGAGAGCGGGACCCCAGGGCACCTCAGGCCCACTCCCGGAAATCACACGAGGTCCCCATCATCACATGCCTGACGAGGGGAACCACGGAATACTGGCCTGCTTAGTCCAGCTCCTCAGCGGGCAGGAGGGGCCCAGAGATGCCCAGGACCACTGGCCCCCTCCTGGCGCCCTGCGCATCTTTCTAGCAGCACCCGCAGGCCCTCACGCCCCGCGGACAGCGCCCTGCCAGCCGTCATCCACGCGCGCCACCGGGTCAACTCCACAGAGATACACACAGCGGGGAGGACACGAACGGCCCCTGGCACGTCTAAGGGCTGCCGGGGGCAGCGGGGTTGCCCGCCGGCCACTTTTGGCTCCGTGTGTCTCAGCATCCGCCCCGAGAGAACCGCAGGGCAAGAGCTCAGCCTCCGGGGCCAGAAACCTGAGCGCCCCCCGCCTGTCCCGAGGTGCTCACGTAGCCAGAAACTTTACAACTTAACACTGAAGACAGAGAGAACTTTTCCTTTATTGCACATGAAGCTATACAAGAGTCACGAGAGAGAGAAAGAGAGAGAGAGAGAAAGAGAGAGAGTTTTCAATCACACACCCAGCATTGGCCGGGGGAGGGGGGCTCCCCGCTGGATCGATACAAAAAAAGGGGGGACAGCATCAGAAAAGAAAGGGGGTACAAAACACCGGAACGGCAAACCTAGCTCGTGACACGGAGGTCCCCCAGGCCACAGAGCAGACCCTTAGCATGCTGCCTGGGGCACGTGAGGGGGGGTGCTGTGTGCTGGACTGGTGTGAGGGGGCACTGTCAGCTTCTCCCCCACCCAAGAGACCTCGTGGGCAACCCCCCCCCCAGCTTGACTGAGCTCAAATGGCAACTTTGTATACGTGGGGCTCACAAATGTCGCAGGAGAAGCACCTGGATATTCACACGGACACCATGCAGAGAAGCCACGCCACCCTCAGCACGCCACTGGACACGGGACGCACGCGCGCGCACACACACAGACACGTGACAGGCGATGGAAGGGGTCCGTCCGGTCTGGGGAACACGGCCTGGCGCCTCGCTCGCATGCAGTCCGCCCGCGCGCCCCCGAGGGTCACCGACGAGGACATTCCCTGCTCCATGCACCCCGGGACCCGCCAGCCACCCCACCCCCCTGCACTGGGTCCCTGGTCCACATGGGCAGGGGGGGGATGCGAGTCAGAGCCCGAGGGAGGGAGGGGACGGGCGAGACGCCCACTGGGTGGGTGGGTGACCCCTGACCGTTGGGGGTGCCCTCCGACCCCCACACAGTGCTCGGCCAAGAGACGGTGCCATTCGCTCCCCACCCCATCCCCACTGCCACCAAGGCCAGGAGGAGCAAGTGAGCGTGAAAGCAGAGGGTGCCCCTGGAGTGGACAGGGACCTTCCCCGTGAGGCCTCTGGAGAGGCCAGGACGGAAGGGCTCGCCCCTGTGCGCTTCCCAAAGGACAAAGCCCCCTCTCCGGACACCGAGCGGGCCTGTTGGGGGGACACAGAGGCCACAGCTCCTCGGAGGTGGACGGGTGGCCACTCTGGAGAGAGCCACCGAGAAAAGGCTGAGGCAGCCCGGGCCGGGCTGGGGGCCACTGTTTGCTCTGAGCTTGCGGCTCGCTGGGGGGGGTGCTGATCACACCCCTGCCTCGAGCCTGTCCCCTGCCTCGCGGTGGTCACCGAGGCGGTCAGCGGCCCGGCCAGCCCACCCGGACAGCAGTGGATGGAGAGAAAGGGCGCGACCGAGAGCCGACGGACGAAGCCACAGGAACGAGACCTGGAGAATCGGTTACACGCGTCAGTCATGCAGAAAGGAAGCGGGAAGCGGGTGCAGCGACGGCCCCAAGCATGCGCTGGACGGAAGCAGGAGGGGGCTGGGGGCTCGTTGGAGCGGGGGGTGGGGGGAGAGGAGCTGGGGGCTCTCCCGCCGCCGTCGGGTCCTCCCCGGCCCCCGGCCTACTCCACCCCCGCGTCGCTGAGCACTTTCTAAAGGACCAGCAGACCTCCTGGACCGCCGTCCCGCTGGCCCCGGGAGAGGCGGGGGGCGTTGGCGCACTGCGGACGCACAGCCCTGGAACCACAAGTCGTTACAGACACACGTGAGCGAGCGTTACAAGCACAGCCGGGAACGGGAGAGCCCCGCACGCACGGAGGACGCGGGCCCTGGGCTCAGCGCGGCCACCCGCCGCTTGCCCCCGGGGAGGGCCCGGCTCCCCTCCCCGCGCTCCTCGCCTTCCGTGTGTGTTTGGTTTTGGCTTAAACGTTTTTCTGCTCTGAGAAGGAAACGAGCAGCGCCGTTACGAGGCCGGGACCTGCTTGGGCCCCACGGCAATGCCGTTACAGTCGAGAATATACTGCAAACAACCTTGGGGTGCGGGCCGCTGCGGCGGGGTCTTGCTCACGTCCGGCTCCTTCAGGGCTCCGCTCTGCAAGAGAGAAAGGCCGCAATGAGCACACAACCCGGGGGCCCCAGGGAACGGCTGCCCTGTGGGGGGCCCAGGTGCACCCCGTGGCTGGGGCCCCCCTAAACTTGCCTCTTGTGGCCTGTGCTTCCCCCACGGGGATTCCTGGGGCCCAGGGCACCTTGGCACGCAGAGCTGGGAGGACGGGGAGCCCCAGGGGCCTAGGTGGGCAGGGCTGAGTGGTTCCCTCGGGGTTGGCAGGTGTGCTCAAGGCCAGGTACCCCCATGGTACCCCCCTCAGCCGTCCCCCAAGGCTCCCCTGGTGGAATTGGGGATGCATGAGGCCGTCCGGCCATGTCTCTTCAAGGCCATGAGCACGGGTGCACACTTCAACGGCTCTGGGAGTGCTCGAGAAAGCCACAACTGCTGCCGAGGGGGTGGGGCGTGGGGACGGGGGCCGTAAGGATGGGGTGGGGGCACGGAGAGGCAGGCTAGTGGGCCTGGTGTGTCCCGGCCCCTCCCGTCACCTCCCAACTCAAACTGCTTCTCCTCCTGTTTCCCACTTCCGGTGGGGCCCTCCCGCGTCCCCCCTGCGCGTCCCACCCATCCATCGAGGTTCTGCGTCCCCTCCCCTGGCACCGGAGTCTTTAACCAACGGCATCGCCCCAAAGTCTTCTTTGAGCACTTCCCAACGGTGGCAGCAGGGCCTCTGCCAGGATCTGCACCATGCCAATCTCTGGAGAGGCCCCACGGAAACACCCACAGCCAATGCGCCAACCAGTGGGCCCCACCCAGCCTGCCCGGGTCTCGTGGCCGGTCCCCCGGAGCTCTGCGACTCTGGCTCAGGGGAGCATCTCTGCCCGCCAGTCTCTCACCTGCCCACCCCTCAGATGGCTCTCACCTTCCCTGACGTGCCCTTGGCCACAGGCCACCTGTGGGAACTCACGAGCTGTGGGCAGCTCCGTAAGGCAGGCCCAGCCACCGGTCACGTTCCAGAGGCGCCACCGGCTGAGCTCACCCGTCCACGGTGGCCCGGGGCCAGAGATGCGGCATGGAAGTGGGGTCTTGCCACCGAACCCCGCCCACTGGGAGCTGGCATCCTCCTGTGTATCCACGCCCCTGCCCTCCCACTGTCTGCCCTCGGTACCTGTCACCTAGTGGCGAGCTGTGTCCCCTCCCCTGGGGAGGCCTTCCTCCTTCCTGCACCCCCCCCCCTTATTACATCCCGGAAGCTATGTCAGCACTGCTTGGACCCTGCTCAGACCCTCCAGCGCTGTCTGCAGCCCTCAACGCTTTGGGGACTGGCACGGGGCTGGGTCCCATCCCACAACTGCGGGTCTTTGTCTCCCCGGATTCCTGGTACACACAGTGTCCACTGCTCTGAGGAAGCCAGAGCAGAGGCGGGAGAGGAGAACCCAGGGAAGGGGGAGATGGGGGGAGGGTTCTCGGGCTGTGTTTTCAGGGGTCACTGGCAGGCTTGGTGCCCTGGGCCACATCAGTCTTCCTCTCCAGTCTCTGAACTGACCAACCATCCCGGCCATGTTGTGAGCACCGACTCCTGAGTCTAACCAAGCCGTGGACAGCACTGGCTGTTCCCCTGCTCATAATCCCACCCTGTGCAGCGCTGCGGGCACCAGCGGCTCGTCCAGACACCGGCCGAGAGCCTGGGCGCCCGGGACGATGCTCCCCTCCCAGAGGGCGGCTGTCGACAAGAAGGGGCAAAGACCGCAGGCGCAGGTGTCCTGAAGGCCCCGGAGCCCACGACACGACACGACACGACACGGGCCCAGGAAGGAGACTGCTCCTGCATCCACCTGGGGGGCCCGCAGCCCTCGGAGATACCCCAGATCACATGGTGGGCTGCGCTCACAGGGGCTCAGCGTGTTCACAGGGACCCCCAATGACATGTCCCAGAACGAGTGCAGCTGGGTCCCCTCCAGACCACCTCACGGCGGCCTTTGAGGAGGGAGCTTCTCCCGTCCCTGGCCCCACTGAGGCTGTGACAATTCCGGGGGGAGGCGGGAGGAGTGTCCCCCGGGACTGGCCCCGCGCAGGCCTGTCTGCAGCCACCGAGGGCTACCCTGGGAGCTGTCTGCAGCCCCCCCCGCAGCGACCAGGACACACATTCCACAGCAGTCTGGCGACTCCGGCATCACGGCCACGGTCTGGCCCGTAGCCAGGCTGCTGCAGTCGCTCACGGCCCGGCTGCGGAGCGTGCTCTCCTCAGGAGGCATGTGAGACGGAAGCACACACATGCACACACACATGCACACATGCATGGGCAGACATGTGCACACATACACACGTGCGCACACACACATGCACGCACACACACTCTCCTCAGAGCAGCAGCATCAGGGATGGTGGGAGGGTGACCCGTCCCCAGGGTCCATTTACGAGCTGCTCTCCCCAGTTAGATGCAGCCAGTCTGGCTGAGGGGTCTCCCAGGGAACTCTCTTAGGTGGCCTCTGCAGGGACAGAGCAGCCGGGGGGTGGGTGTTCACCCTGACTGTCCACGAAGGACTTGACCGAGGGCTCGGTCTAAGTCACAGCTTCTTGAGCTGAAGGGTCCAGGACGGGATGGATGCCAGGGGTCCCCGCAGCCCGGGACCAAGCACGGGGTCAGTGCGCCCAGGCCCTGGGCTCGGGCCCTGAGGAGTTTCCCACGCTGAGGGGTACAGAAATGCAGGAGGGGAAAGGGGGGCGGTCCCAAGGTCTGAGTTTCTTTTCACCTTGGCCCTCAGTTCTTTATTTTAAATTTTATTTTTATTTACTTTTTGGGAGTGCTCAGGGCTTACTTCTGCTTCTGCACTCAGGGATCACTCCTGGAAACAGTCAGGGGACCATCTGGGGTGTTGGGGATCGAACCCAGGTCATCCCCATGAAGGACCAAAGCCCTCCCCACTCTACTTCAGCTCCCAGTTCTCAGTTCATTTAGGGGGAGCACAGCCAGCTATGCTCATGGGTTACTCCTGACTCTGTGCTCAGGGCTCACTCCCAGTTCTGTGCTCTGGACTCACTCCCGGCTCTGTGCTCAGGGCTCACTCCCGGCTCTGTGCTCAGGGCTCACTCCCGGCTCTGTGCTCAGGGCTCACGCCTGGCTCTGTGCTCAGGGCTCATCACTCCCAGCTCCATGCTCAGGGCTCACTCCCGGCTCTGTGCTCAGGGCTCACTGGTGGTGGAGGTTGGGGTTCACAGGTACCTCCCCTTTGCCATCCTGAGGGTCCTGGGACACAGGGGGGAGATGGCAGCTCCTGCCTGAGGTCCTGGCAGGATGGAGTGCGGAGGAAGGAAAGTCACAGAGTGACTCAACCTCTGAGCTCCTGGCGCGAGTCCAGCCCCTGCCCCCTCCCCCCCCCATCCCCACCCGCCACCCCAAGATGTCCTATGCTTGCTCAGCACATCTGAGACAGGAAATTGAGAAAGGGTCTCAGGCCCAGGCTCCTGCCCAGGGACGCGCCACAGAACTATTCTGATCAGCTCCCCCAGGCCGCCCTCCCCGGCCCAGGGCCCCCCGGGATGAGACAGCAGGAAGGAATGTGGTCGGAGCTTGTCAGTTCAGTGAGAGCAAAGGACAAGGCAGACTTGCAGGCACCTCGGGATCTCTCTAGGGTCACGCCAGCCTGCAGTGCCCACCTCCCCCTCTGGGGGTCCCAGGGCTGGGCCCCTGCCCAGCCTCCACTGGGCCACCCCACAGTGATTTCCAGCAGTGCCCCCGGGGCCCGCCTCCCAGGCTGCTGGGGGCGCTGCGGGCCGGTCACCCAAGGTCACCGTGTCGGCTCCGAGTGATTAAGAATGTCCCCTCACAACTGAAGACAGCTCCAAAATAGTCCGTTTCCCGGTCACTGGGGTTTCTCAACCTGCCCTCCGAGGCTCCCATTTCCAGCCTCTGCTCACTGGGGAACCAGTTCCCCCCAGGCACCCTGCTGTGGGAAGCAGGAAGGCCTAAATTTACCCCTTCTCTGGGACCCAGGGGCATCCCGGCTCAGCCCGGCCTGACCATGTGCGCCCTGGACGGTGCTCAGCAGTCAAGGCCCCTGAGCCGCACTCAATGGGTCGGAAAGATCCCCCCTTTTCTGGCTCTTGGGGTCACACCCGGCGGTGCTCAGGAATTCCTCCTGGCTCTGCACTCAGGAATCACTCCTGGCGGTGCTGGGGGACCCTGTGGGATGCTGAGAATCAAATCCAGGTCGGCCGCATGCAAGGCAAACGCCCACCCCTCTGTCCTGTCACTCTGGCTGGAGACCCCATTCTTGTAAGGCTTTGTGGCGGCAGCCACTGGGCTGGGGGACTTTTCCGCCACAACCCCAGGAAAAGAGAACCAGCAGAAGATCTCCTCACGCCCCAGGCCGGGCCTCGACCCAGGTCTGTGCTGGCTCTCGGCTGCTCTGCTCTGAAGCCTTTCCAGGCAGGCTCGCTGACACGGCGTCCACCTGCCCAGGCTCAGAGCCCCCCCACGGTCCGCCCCCTCCTGAGCTCAGCCCTGGTTGCCAGAAGCACCGGCCCCTTCCCCAACAGCCCCCCTGCACACTGCACCCCTCCCCCAGCCTCTCCCGGAGTACAAGCTAGGAAGCGGGGGGGGGCAGGGGGAGGGGGTCCCCAAGGCTGGAACAGCACCCTGGCAGGGGTCTCTGCTTCCTACCGGCCCCTGCTGGCAGCTGACACCCAGCCCTGGCTCCAGGAAGCTGCAAGGGTTCTGGAGAGGGAGGTGAGCGTGGAGAGTACCCTGGGCACAGTGCGGGGGAAGGGGGGGCACCCAGCAACTGGCCACCTGGAAGCCCCCCCACCCCCAGAGGCGGTGGGGGGGAAAGGAGGGAGCAGCCAGGGCTGCCTGCAGGCTTTTGACCACCACCACCACTGGCCACCAGATGTCGCTGCCACCCTGAGAACAGTCTCCGGACAACACAGGAGGGCCAGGAGCAGCAGAGAGATGGATGCTGCCCTCCCCCGCGGCTCCTCATCCCTGCGCCTTCTCAGCGGACACAGCCACGGCCGATCCAACCTCCCATAGGGCTGTTTCCTAGAGCAAACTGTCCTGGCTCGGCTGGGCAGGCTGGGGACCGGGTCAGGGGAACCCTCCTGCCCCTGCTCCAGGCGCCATCAGAATTCTTCTAGAAGCAGACAGAGCACAGCTGGAAGGGCAAGGGCGGAGCTGTGAGCACGGAGCAGGAGGCAGAGGAAGGCTGAGGCAGCGGGCGCCAGGCCTGCCCCCAGAGCTGGCATGGGCAGAAGCATCGCCAGCCTTGCCCCTGGGCTCCAGGAGGAGGCCAGCAGGCAGGGTCAGGCGGCAAGAGGACCAGTGGGGCCCAACCCACAGGCCCAGTTCCCGGTGCCAAGTCCTAACTGGGACCCCTATGGTGCGCCCCATCTGCTGACGCATAGCCTTGCCGGTCAGAGGTCCCGCCACCAGCTAATACTCGGCTCTGTCGCACTGCGGGCACTATTCGCGGGAACTCACACAGCAAACAGGGATCGGGAAGGGGATGGACGGGCAGGTGGACGGAGGCGGGAGGCCTCTGGGACTCGCAGCCCTTTGAACAGGACCGCCCGGCGACAACTGTGACTGGGTGTGGCCGTGATCCTTTGGCTCATGCCAGGGAATGATGCTTCCTGCCGTTCTTGGCTACCCCCCACGAGGCTGGGGTTCAGCGGAGACCCCTGACTCTGTGAGCTCAGCATCCGCCAGCTCTCTGCAGAGGAGCCGGGAGCAGCGTGTGCACCAGCCCCTGGCCAGCCCCTTCTGCTGGACACCTCTGCCGCCAAGTCCCTGAGCAACAGCCAGGGGCGACTCTCAGCTCCCCGCAGGCAGGGATGAGCCCTGCTCTGACTTTCCGGCTCTGAGAGAGCAGCAGAGGCTCAGAGGCAAGACGGGGCTCCCCTTACTTGAGGACCAGGTGCCATAAAAGTGAGCCAGACGCCATGCAAGTGTCTTAACCGTCTCCTTTTGTTCTTGTTTTGTTTTTCTTTTTGGGTCACAGTGATGCTCAGGGCTTACTCCTGGCTCTGCACTCAGGAATCACTCCTGGCGGTACTCAGGGGACCAGATGGGATGCCGGGGATTAGAACTCAGGTCGGTGGCATGCAAGTCAAACGCCCTCCCTGCCGTCCTAGCGCTCCAACCCCTTAACGGTCTCTTGTTAACGGCGTATTTAAGTGACGGGGCTTGCGTCTCTGCACGCCCCTGAGCATTTTTCTCGGCAGCTCCCAACTCATTTTACTTAAGCAATTTCACGACACTTGTGGTTCCGCGCTGGTCATTTGCCACCGAAATAGCCCTCAGATCTGATTTTTCTTCACAGAGCTCGGAATATGGGCTCCAGCGCAGCCCTGTCCTGAGGCCTCAGGCCTGGTCTCAAAGACGCTCAGTGCCCAGATTCTGCGAGTCCAGACCGGGAGGGATGTCTGTCCATCTGCTTCTGGATGAACCAGGCTGGCGGTTTTAGTTTGTTTGGGTTTTTTTCCTCCTTCTCCCCTGGGCCCTTCTCTTCCTCCTTACTAAAGGGTTTCCAGAAGGGCCTTGGTGGTCACCAGCAGGCGGGATCAGCCTCCAGGGATAAGACTCCAGACGAAACAAAGTCTCTGTCTCTGCTGCATCCGAAGCTACATGTGGGGCTGGGCCAGGTCTCAGTGACCGTCCCCTCCTCACCACCCCACACGCAAGGCCAAGCGGCGAGTCGGCTGCGTCAGAAAGGAGCTGCTCCCTAGCCCACAGAGCTGGGGTCAGGGGTCACCCCTTCCCACCCATCCCAGAGTCCGACCCAACCCCCCCCCCCACATGCTGCTGTGACCCCCAGGCCCACGCTTGACCCAGGACCACGTGCCACAACCCTCCCCCACTGCAAAGACAGGCGGGCTTCTCGTGGGGGTCCCATGTCTTCACCTACAATGCAGCTTCTCAGGAACACCCACCAGCTGCTGCCCAAAGAGGGGCCAAGGCCTGAGCAAAGGCCAGCAGAGCTGACCGGCTCCGGGCGGCTGTAGGAGGCCTGCTTGCAAGGAGGCACACCCCGACCCTGAGGCTGCCGGTTCCAGGGCAGAGTCGGACTGGGCGCTCCAGGGGACTCTGCAGATGGGGCTGCAGGTCCCAGGGGAGACGAGAGGGCAAGAGAGGTGTGGGTGCAGACCCCCCACACACACACGCCTCGGACCTGCTGCCTCTTGTCAGAAAAAGAATAAGCACTCAGTGATCCCCCATCCCTGCCCCATAATTTCCCTTCTTGAGCATGTTGATGACGGCGCATGCGGGACTGCTAGGGGGTTCACACCCAACTGGGGCCAAATCAGTCAAACTGCAGGGCCGGTGTCGCGGATGGTAAAAAAGCCACTGGGGCACTCCTCTCTGGAAAGAAAGATGGCGGCCGCACGGGAGCCTTGTGGACAGCAGGTTTGAGCCGGGGGCGGGGGGCAGCGGGGGCCTCATGGGAAGGGGGGCGTTCTGGGCCGTCCTTCACGCCCGACCGAGGTCACCAGCTGCCCCCCACGAGCGGCTCTCCCGCACGGCCACGACTCCAGAGCACAGAAACCAATCTCTTAACTATCTACCTTTTAATAGAAATACTTCCAGGGTTAATAAGTGAAACAGCAGAAATCCAAAACCGCGCGGCCGCGAGCGACATCATTTTATTCTTAAACCAAGCTGTAGAAAGCAAATCATTTCACAATACCGTTTCAGCATATCTGATTGGGGGGGGGGGGTTGTAAACTCTAAACAATAATTGTGTATCTTCTATGGAAACAATGTATCTAGTCAAAGTAGATAGAGTATTAACTAGAACTCATCTGCCTCACAGGAATTGGGAGGGGTGGGAAGTCGGGTTCTATTGGGGTTCACGGTTAAAAAGAAGTATTGGTAAAGGGAAATGTGTTTGATACTTACATGACTGAGACCTAAACCTGAAAGCTCTGTAACTTTTCCCACAGTGATTCAATAAAGAAATAAAAAAAAAAAAGCCACTGGGAAGGGCCATCCCCCGCACCCAAAGAAATGAGGTCCCTCCCAGATGCGGCCACCACCCCGTCCCCATGGCTCCCGGGGGCCTGTTGGGGTGGGAAGCTCTGGAGAAGGGGTCGGCCACGAGTCTGACACCTCAAGTCCCACCACCCTGGCCCAGCCCCACCTGCCTAGGCCCCGCCCCATCCAGGCCCCGCCCCATATAGGCCCCGCCCCATCCAATCCAGGCTCCGCCCTGTCCAGCCCCGCCCCATCCAGGCCCCGCCCCATCCAATCCAGGCTCCGCCCTGTCCAGCCCCGCCCCATCCAGGCCCCGCCCCACCCAATCCAGGCTCCGCCCTGTCCAGACCCGCCCCATCCAGGCCCCCCCCCTCCATCCCAGCCCCTACCTCTGCCCCACCCCAGTCCCATCGTGACCCCGCCCCAGCCCCGCCCCAACCCCTCCCGGCTGCTTACCTGGGGCTGCTGAGTGGTCAGTGGCCTCTGAGGAGACAGAACAGGGGTCCTGGACAGCAGCTGGTTCATCTTACTGATCACGAGCTCAGCGATGAGCTGCCGGTCCTCCAGCTGGTGGTCCCCGATCAGCGGCATGCTGCAGTCCATGACCTGGGCGGGGCAGAGGGATGGTGGACGCTCACGCTGGCCACACCCGGGATATCAGCTCCGGGAGAGTCGGTGGGGGCCACCGTGGTGGGAAGCGGCTTCCTCTCTGCCCCTCCCCCACGAAGCCTCTGCCCGGGGCCTCCCCTGGACCCTGGGCCTGGGCAGGGGTAAGGGCTGGAGGGCAGGATGGTACCTCCCGCCAGGCGGGAAGGGCCGGGAGCTCTCTCCCCCTGCCGTTTCCCACGCGCGGGAGCCCCGTTTCCATCCCCGGGGCCATCTGCCTTTTCCTTCGCTAAGCGTCTGCCGAGAGGCGAGAGTGGACAGTGCCAAGGGCTGAGGGCTGAGGCCCGGCAAGTGAGGCAGCTGGTGCTGAAGCCACCTGAGGGCCCCGACCCTCACCCGATCCAGGGCGGCAGAGCACGGACGCGAGGGAAGTCTCAGTTTGCTTCTGGTGCCCCTTTGGCCAGGAAAATGGGGTTTAGCCAGGTGGGTGAGAGGGGATTTGGAGAAGCCCCCCCCCCAAGGCTCCCCGCTCCCCGGGAGCATCACTCGCTCCGCAGTTGGCCAGCGGCTCAGGGTCGGACCTGGTTTCCTCACCCAAGACCAACCGACTCAGAGGAGACCAAGTCCCCACCAGGGTCCCAGAGGAGGGGTCAGTCTCGGCCCCGGTGCCCCTGGTGGGGTGGGTCCCCGCTCGGAGATGGCTCTGCTCTGTCCTGGCTCCGGGGTCCTGTGGGGGCCTTCCTGGCCCCGGGGACTCCCCAGGCCTCTCACCTCAAAGATGTAGTCTTTCCCATCTTTGCCATGGACGGCTTTGACGGCACAGATGTCCAGGCCACCAAACAGCTCAGAGCAGGCGTCGACCCACTGCTTGTACCTGGAGGGGACAGCAGGAGGCCTGAGGCAGGCGGGGGCACACAATGCCTGCTTCGCGGGTCGTGGTCCTCAGTGTGCAGCCCTGACCTGTCCCCCTGCACCGCCTCCCCCTGCCCTCCGCTGGTCCCCACGGCCTCTTCCAGGGGGCACCTCGGCCTGCCTGCTCACTGCGCCAGCCCAGAGCTGCCTGCCCTGGCTAGCGGGGGTCCCAGTGCCGGCTCCCAAGGTATGCCTGTCCCCATGCTCAGGGGGCTCACTCTGGACCCCCAAAAGGGGCGTCCAGGCCCCCCAACAGACCTTCACTCACCTCTCTGACATGGCGATCTGCTCCAGCATAGCCGAGCCCGTGTTGGTCTTCCAGCTCCCCGAGATGGACGTCCTCCTGCGTCCAGGAGAGGAGAGGACGGGCCGTGAGCCCCTCCAGCAAGCTTGTACCCCCGCCCTGGCCTGGTACTATCTGCTGGTATCTGCAACTCCAGGGCGCCCCCCCCCCCCCCCACCTGCCACACACATACCCGAGGGTCTGTCCTCGGGGACCTGGCTCACCCCTCACAGCCCTGCGATTCTGACTGTGGAAGCCAGTCATCTGTGTCGGAAGGGCAGTCCCCCACCCCCAAAGAAATGAGCTCCCTCCCCGATGCAGCCACCACCCCATCCCCATGGCTCCCGGGGGCCCATGGGGGTGGGCAGCTCTGGAGAGGGGGTCGGCCACAAGTCTGACACCTCAAGTCCCACTAGCACCCCATCCGTCACTTGGGAGGGCATCGCAGTGCCCCGCAGGTGATCCAGGTGAGGGGCCAGTTGCTTCGTTTTCACTGTACACTGGGCGAGGGTGGGGGCACACATGTCCCAGCCCTCCTCTCAGCAGGCCACAGCCGCCTGCAGGCTCCAGTGACTCTGGGCCGGGGCAGACCAGAGTGTGGCTTCCTGGTTCTGCTGCTTCGTTTACTTTGCAGTACCGGGAACCAAACCCGGGACCCCAGACCCCTCCCCAGTCTCCTCCTGGCAGCCTGTGCAGGCTCTGAAACTTCTGAGTGTGACCTGGGTCACTTGGCCACATGAGCCTCCTTCCGGCTGTGCAAACACAGGGGCCACGGGACGGGGGGCGGACCACATGGCAGGGAAACTCCTTCCTAAAGACCAGCTCCGACCCCGGAAGGCCCCGCCATCCGGTTTGGCGTTTTGGGTTTTGTTGTTTCCAGAGCTGCAGGCAACCCAAACGAGGGGACTAAGGTGGCAACAATGACACGCCCGGACACAGTCCCGCTGCAGTCCATCTTCTTCCACCCCGACTGTGCTGAGGGGGCCGGGATTCTGGCAGGAAGGGCTGGACCACAGATCCCACTATTAGTCCGGGGCTCCACTGGGTAGCCCACCCCCACCCCCGACACAGCGCCTCCCCACAGCCCTGAAGGAGGACACCGTGGGCTCAGGGTGACCATGTCACCAGCCCCCAGCTCCCACATGCCAGGCAGGGCCGACACTCACGCCAGGACCCACTGGAAGCAGAACGAGAGGGCAGGAACGGCGCACAGCAGCTCACGGCCCCTGACACCCGGCAGGGACATAAGTCCGGAAACCCCGCTGGCACCCAGAGGCTCACCAGCAAGTTCCTTCTCCCTCCTCCCGGCTCCTGCCCCCGACACACACTCACATGTACGCCTTGTAGTTGCCGCCGATCTTCTGCACCCTGATGTCGTACTTGGAGTCGATGAAAGGCTCGGCCGTGGCGTAGGTCTGGGTGAGGGCCACAACGCTCGCAATGTCCTGGAAGTCGTAGTGGTTCTCCACTTTGACCTAACGGCGCAGCAAGATGGAGATAGGGAGGGAGAGAGACATGTTCACATGCAAACCGGTAGGGTCCCCGGGGCCGGGCCCACCCTCTACGTACCCCCCACCTCCGGGCGCCCCTTCTTTCCAGCTTCTCTTTCCCTGCTGGACAGGACCCACGGGAGGGAGGCAGCGAGGGGCCCGCAGTCTTGGGCATCACTCGTGGCCTCCGTGGCGCAGGCCCTGACCCGCGACGGAGGTGGAGGAGCAGAGACAGGTGGGTGCCAGCCCCCCTTCGCCCCCACTCTCACCTTGCCCATGCCCGAGTGCGCGTGGCCGATCTTCACCACCACCGGGAACGTGGGCAGCGTCAGCTGGAAGCAGAGAGACGGGAAGGGACTGTCAGACCCGGTACATCGGGAAGGCGAGTCCAGACCTCACGCTGGTGACGCTAAAAGGGAATCTGAGTGCTCTGTGGATGTGCACCCGCCCGCCAGGCTTCCAGGCGCGGGAATAAATGCAGAGGAGATCGGCTGGCTGCAACATTCACAGATACACCGGCTTCCCAGCAGAAAACTCTGGGTGTCCTCGGGAGGGGGCCAGGAGCCCCAGCGGCTGCACCCCACAAGCTGCCACCACACCAACAGCCCAACGGCCTGATTCCACCTTTTGTGACTGAGCTCTGTGGGGGTTCCAAACTGCTGATACTTTCAGGTACACGGCTCTTCAGGCTGAGAACTCTGGGGTTTTCTCAGAGTGGGGACGGGCAGTCTCCGCCCTTCCCGTCCTACCCCCAGACTTCCGGAAGGCCCAGTAGCCATACCCACAGCCACAGCCACGGGCATAAAGCTCACTGCCCAGTCACATATCCTGGAGTTTCTGGAGTGACAGCTCCAGACTCTACAGTACTGACAGCCTAGTAGGAGCACACAATTGAGACGGGAAAGGGACACAGAAGCCAACTAAGCTCAATGAACCAGACTGTGAACACGGGAGACTCAACTAGCAACAGCGGCTCAGCAACCCTCAGGCAAGGACTTAAGGATTCCATGGTGAGATCCAACAACTTTCACAAATTTTCTTTCACTGACTGTATTTCTTGACCGTGCCAGTATCCATCTAGTGGTAACCATCAATATAAAATAAATTCTTGGGGGCCTGCTAAAGGGGCAGGCTTCGAGGGTAGCCAGGAAAACTCAGACCGTGACAGAGGGAAGGTCACAGTGGGGGTGGGGTTGGGGTTGGGGTTGGAGTACTGAATTCCTGTAAGCGGTCATCATGAACAACTCTGCAAACCACAGGGTCTCAATAAAGGCAGGAGGAGAAAGCTCGAGGGACCTGGGCTGGGGCTCAGTTCAGTGGCCGAGTGCCTGGTCAAGCGGGCCCCACCATGTGGGGACATTGCACAGGCCTGGGCCCCAGCCTTGTAGTGTGCAAACCCTGGCCAAGTTCCCAAACCACCTGGGAGCAGCCCCCAAGCACAGGGCTGGCAGGGCCTAACCCTGGTTACAAAAATAAACCCAGTCCCCAAGGCCCACAAGAGTGAGAGGCAGGCATGGGCAGCCCAGCCTCTGCCTCCTGGACACTTGTTACATCTTGAAAATTCATCGCCTCAACTTTTCTGCACAGACAAAACGTGAGTGGATCTTGGCCAACAACAATAACGGGAATAAACGCATCCTCGCCCGAGAGGCCTGGACCCACCTGGCCATGGCCTGGAACCTGACAGGCCTCCTGGCTCCTCATCTCATCATCTCCATTGGGCTCCGGCCCCAGACTCCCCTGTACAGCGTGTCAGCTGGCTGGGCTCTGCCCATGCGGGTGTCAGGGTGATCCCGGGACGACCATACTGGACAGAGCCCCTGACAGACCTCGCGGATGACTCCCCAGGGTCCCAAGTATGAGTTTCCCCGAGGGGTGCTGTGGTCAGGCCCAGGTCAGCTGCTGTCGGCGCAAATCAAGGTGTTCAGCCCCAACTGGTGGAGAAACTGAGGCCACAGCCCCAAAACTCCCTGGAGTGGAGTCCACTCACACACACAGTCCAGCCCAGCCCTGCAATATGGCTCTGGGCAGAGCTGATTGGAGACAGGAATCATCTGAGTGGCCTGCCCAAGGGACGGGACCCCACGCTCCAAGTGCCAACAAGAAAGCATTCACCTCCCCACACACGCATGCACACACATACAGGCTCACACACTCATGCAGACTTACACATGCAGGGATAACAAACACACAGATTTACAGACTCACATAGACACACACACGCAGACTCACATATACTCACACACACACATACACTCATGAGACTCAGACACACAGACTTACACATGCAAATACACACAGACTCACACAGTTTCACATGGACAGATGCACATATGCAGACACATAAACTGACTTATACATGCAGACACACAGACTCACACACACACACACACGCACATGCTGATTCACACAGACTCTCACTCACATAGTTACACAGGCAGATACACACCGCCACAGATTCACACAGACTCATATAGACACACAGGCACTCTCTCTCACACATACAGACTCAGATCCACAGGTCACACACACACACACACACACACACACACACACACACACACACACACACATAACACCACCCCTTCCTCCAGCCTATCCCATCACTCTCTGCAGTTTCTGAGGCTCTCCACAGCTGAGTGGCCCCGGGCAGCTTCTCCCTACATGCAGACCAGAGGGGGCCTGGCCACTCCCCACCTTTCCCGGCTTGTCTGAGCTCTCTGTCCCTGCCCTGCCTCGCTCCTCCCTCCTAAACCTCCCTCCACCACTCCTTCCTCCCTCTGCCCCCTCCTCCCTCTGCCCCTCTCATCCTCCCTCTGCCCCCTCCTCCCTCCCTCTGCCCCTCTCATCCTCCCTCTGCCCCCTCCTCCCTCCCTCTGCCCCCTCCTCCCTCCCTCTGTCCCCCTCCTCCCTCCCTCTGCCCCTCCCCATCCTCCCTCTGCCCCCCTCCTCCCTCCCTCTGCCTCCTCCTTCCTCCCTCTGCCCCCCTCTCATCCTCCCTCTGCCCCCCTCCTCCCTCCCCCTGCCCCTCTCCGCGTGCCCCTTCTGCTCCTCGCCTGCCCCCCACCCGAGACCCCACCGCGCGGGCGCCCGGCTGCCGCTGGCCGACCTGCCTGTCCCGGGCTCCCCTTTCGTGGCCACCCCCGGGAGCCGCGGGCGGGGCTGGAGGGGCTCTAGACCCACCTCACAAAGCTGGGGAGGGGCAGGGCCAGACGTTCTAAAGGGGCCGGCGGCCGGTCGGGTCCCACTGCCCCCCTGTGCCTCGGGCCTCGAGCCATGGCCTGGCCGCTGTGGCTGCTGCTGCTGGCCGGGCAGCCGCTGACCCCCGCCGGGCAGCTGCCCGACGCGCAGTGCTGCTCCCAGGTCCTGCACCCGCAGGTCCACATGTGCGCCGCGGACGTCCGTGAGTGGCCGGGCCCGCCGCGGGGCCGGGGCGCGGGGGGCCCCCAAGCCCGGCCAGGGGTCCCCTGGGCTCGGGCCGGCCTCCCACCCGCGGGCCGCTGGGCGGGGCCGGGCGCTGCCATAGCAACCGAGCGGGCGTAGGGCCCGCCCCCCGCCGGACCCTCTCCCGGGACGCCCCTCGTGCCCGTCCTGCCGGCCCTCGCGACCCCCTCTTCGCCACGTTCGCACAGGGGTGGGGGGTTCCGCCACTCCCAGAAACCCTGCTCCGTACCCCCAAACGGGGGGCGTGCCGTCGGGGTGGGCTCTGGGCTGGGGCTGGGGCTGGGGGCCTGTCCCACCCAGCCCCAGCCCCGGGGGGGCCCAGGAGAACCCACAGTGAGGCTGGCACTGAGCCCCCCACTCCCGGGGACGAGGGTCTCGGGATCACACCCCCTCTGCCTTCGCAGCGAGACCCCCAACCCCCTCTCTCCCGAACAGTGGGCTCTGGGGCTGGGGCTGGGGCTGGGGCCTGTCCCACCCAGCCCCAACCCGGGGGTCCAGGAGAACCCACAGTGAGGCTGGCACTGAGCCCCCCACTCCCGGGGACGAGGATCTTGGGATCACACCCCCTCTGCCTTCCCAGCGATACCCCCAACCCCCTCTCTCCTGTATAGTGATCCGGGCCAGAATCACGGGCGAGAGGCTGGTCTTTGAAAAAGGGGAATCTGGTCACTACCTGACTCTGTTGGAGTATAAAATCAAACAGATAAAGGTGTGTGTCTGGACCGGGGCTGTGTTCCACAGGGGACGGAGCCACCCCCCCCTGCTACTTCCGGGGGGACCGGTGGGGAGCCAAGGGAGTGGGGGGGGGTCAGGCCCCATTTGCCCGGCTGCTGGGGGTTCCTCCCGGGAACCACACAGACCTCGAGAGTTCGCCAGGAGACAAGTAGCTCCCGGGCTTCTCTGCTGCCCATAAATCCCAAACTTGACTTCCTTCTGGATTTTGCGTCTGGGAAAGGGACCCCGTTTCTCAACAGGCCTGAGAGACACCTGCACCCCACCGGTCCCCACCCCACCCCAATTCTGCGTTTCTGTGGCCGCTGTTTCAGCTCTTTAAAAGCCCCGTGAAGCTCAAAACCAAGCGCCTCCAATATCTCTACACGACGTTTGACACCTGTGGGGCCAAGCTGGAAGCTTTCACCAGACAGCAGTACGTCCTGAGCGGTAAGCCAGAAGCCACAGTTCGGCAGCGGGACCTTGCCAGACGCCCCTGGAAGGTGCTCTGAGTGGGGATCCCCCCCTTCACCCCCTCGCTGGCTTCAGGCCAGCTCTGGCTTCCATGTGCCACCTCCAAGCAAGAGGCTTCTGCTCCCTCAGGCAGACCATGCCTGCCCGGAGCTGGCGGAGCGCGGATACCCAAGCTCCCGCCTCCTGCTGCTGCCTTGGCCCGACCAGCCCAGCACTCCCCCACCGCGCAGACTCCCAGCTACCAATCAGTGCCACCCCCACCCACGGCAGACACAGGCACAAGGACAAATTTCAGTGCCGGGGGCTGCAGCTGGGCTTGAGCGTTGAGCGCCACAGGGGGTGACAGTCTCAGCTGCCAGGGAACCTGGGTGGGTGGCTCGCAGCCCAGGAGAGCACAGGCCCTCCCTGGACCCCCAAGTCTAACAGATCTGCCTGGGGGGCCGGGCTGGGCCACACGACCCCCAAACCATGTGAGGCCACGTCACAGCTTGGGGGCACAAGAGATCTGTGGGCTGGGGAAGAACCAAGTGTCACTGCATGAGAGCGGTCTCCAGCAGACCCCCTCCCCCCCCCGGACCACAGATGTTTAGAAAGACGGCAGAGGGAGCCCCATAGGGCGGGGTGGGGCCCTGCCTCCATCCCGGGTCCACAAGGGGTGCCGTTTTCTGTCCAAACCCCAAGTCTGCCGCCAGGTCAGCTGTGGAAGGGGCGCGAGCTCTTTCGCTGACCTGCGGCCCCAGAGTGCACACACCCAGCCGGGCCTATTCCATCTTTCTGACGTCTGGTCCGAGCACTCGGTGTGTGAGTCTGGGACAGAGCGGGGCCAGAGCCATCGGGGTGCCAAGAGGGAACAGGAAGGCACATAAGGTATTTCCCACGGCCAGCGGTACCCGGGGTGAGGCACGGGGGGGTGGGTGGGAGAAGGGCACGCATGCTCCCTGCCGTGCACACGGAGGAAGGTGCCTGTGCTTCGGGGGTCCACGCTGGGAACCCTGCCGCACCGAGTCGGCTCACAAGCCTTGCATATTTCCTCACCCAGCAGAGGGCTGCCCGGAACCCCGAGGGCAAAAGCCTTCCCCCAAAAAACTCTTTCTTACACACACATCCTTTCTGTCCTGGGCACCCGGGTCAAGGGGGTCTTCTGTTGCACCCCCACCGGCTCACAAAGGCTGCGGAAGAGAGTCCAGACCCTAGAGGGCACCAGCGGACACGCAACGGGCTGGGCCGCACACAGACGCGGAGCCCCGCTGGGGTGGCCGGGCTGGCAAAGGAACATGACGGGGGGGGGGGGGGGGGTTGGGGGGGGCTCACGCTGAACGTGGGTGGCGGGCGGGGAGTCCCGAGCATCCCTCGGGGGGGTCCGCGGCTCAGGGTCCTGCGAGGTCCCGGGGCTTGGGTGCAGACTCCCGATGCCCCTCTCCCCGGGCAGCGAACGTTCTCCCTGACGGCAAAGTCTTCATCCCCCTGTGTAACTACGCCAAGACCTGGGAGAGCATCTCGGACTTCCAGAAGGAGGTCCTGTACCACTTGGACACCCTGAACTGCTCCTGCCAGGTATGGAAACCCCCTCCCGGGAGGGCATGCGGCAGGGAAGGCCGAGGGTGGACAGCCGCCGTGGCGGCCCGTCTCCCGGACCCGAGTCTTGGAGACTCACGTGAAGAACTGAAATGCTCAGCGGGGAGACCTGAGTGAGCCCGTGGCCGGAGCGGTTCCCTCGCCTGAGGTCAGCCGTGCAGAAGGAGCCCAGGCCTGGTGGAGGCAGCAGTGTGTGTGTGTGTGTGTGTGTAAGCACGCACACGTGTGTACATGTGTGTCTATTTGTGTGTGACTGTGTCTGTGTGTCTGTGTCTATGTCTGTGTGTACCTGTGTGTGCCCTTGTATGTGTCTGTGTGTCTGTGCATGTGTCTCTGTGTGTGACCCTGTGTGTGTCTGTGTGTATGTGTGTGTGTCTGTGTATTTGTGTCTGAGTGTCTGTGTGAGCATCTCTATCTATGTCTGTCTATGCCTGTGTGTGTCTGTGTGTCTGTGCATGTGTCTCTGTGTCTGACTGTGTGTGTGTCTATGTGTCTGTGCGTATGTCTCAGTATGTGACCCTGTGTGTGTTTGTGTATGTGTGTACGTGTCTGTGTGTGTGCCTGTGTGTGTCTGTGTGTCTATACCGTGTGTCTCTGCGTGTTTGTGTCTGTGTATGTGTGTGTCTGTGTGAGTCTGTGTGTGTCTGTGTGTGCCTGTGCATGTCTGTGCGTGTGCCTGTGTGTGTCTGTGTGAGCATCTGTGTGTGTGTCTGTGTATGTCTGTGTCTGTGTGAATCTGTATGTGTCTGTGTGTGCCTGTGTCTGTGCGTATGTCTGTGTGCCTGTGTGTGTCTATGTGTGTCTGCAAGTGTCTCTGTGTGTGACTTTGTATATGTTGAAGGGCTCCTGCAGGCTGGGGGTCGACCATGCCCTTGGTCTGCACTGGCCAAGGGGTGTGTGGGGGTCCAGACGGGCAGCAAGGGCGCCACCAACTGCGGGTCTTCGCCCCTAGATCACCCTGTGCCTCAAGGAGCCGTGTGTCACAGACAACACAGAGGAGTGCCTCTGGACAGACTGGCTCCGGAGCCACGTGTTCGAAGGCATGGAGGCCCAGAACTTCCTCTGCCAGAAACAGAACAGTAAAAAGTGCCAGTGGGTCCAGGGCCCCAAAACCAAAGTGTCCCCCACCACGGCCCAGCACCCGCCTCAACCCTTCATGTACTCCTTCTGGGCCAGCGAACTGACCCTGCATGGCCCCAAGCCCGAGGACTTCCACGTGACTGCCGGCGGGCACCAGGGCCCGGCCAGCCAGACCCGTCAGTCGTAGAGCAAGGGCGTCCGAGACCCCCTTGCAGAGCCCACAGGGGGCCGGCATGTCAGCTCCCGGAGGCCACCCTGGCCTCGCCTGCTCCCCAGTGCCTCGGTTCCAGCGCAGTGCGCGAGTGCCGGGCCCAGCCCCTCCCCCCCCCACCCCAGGAAATGTGCTTCCTCGCCCTTCACTGCTTGATAAAGGAAGATGCGGTGAGTGTCGCCCACGGGCCGGGCCGAGTCACCTGGTGATGTCCTTGGGCCAGAAAGAACGCCCTCCCGTGGGCTCCTGTGTCTGCTCAGGGGTGCAAGTCTGAGCAGGGACCCCCCGCCCCTCCCGCTGGCCACTCCAGGCCCAGGGGCTGTGCCAGTGTCGACGATTCCTCAGACAAGACATGGGTGTTGTCCCCCTGGGGTCACCCGTCTCTGCGTTCTCTTCACTTGCTCCGAGAAAGTCCTTCACTCCACTCCGGGGACACCATCCCCGCGAGGTCTGGCCTTAGAAGGGCCTGGCTTGAGATTTAAGTTCAGGCTGGCAGCCAGGCCCCCACCCCAGGCAGGAGGGTGGGAAGTGCTCGGCGGGCAGTGCTCTCCATTCTTCTCCACGGCATGCTAGCGGGGGCCGGGGTTCGAGTCGGCTCCTTCAGAGCATCCCCCACCTGCCCCATCTTCACCAGGGGACGGGGTTCCCTGAGGACTCTGAGCGCAGCCCCCTGAGAGGCGTTCTCCTTAGACCCCAGGCGGGTGCCCGCTCGCCCTGCCAGGGGAAGCTCTGATGGTGGATCTACAAGGACGAGGGCTGAGCGCAACGCGGGGACAGCGTGGTGTCGCTCACAGTGGCACCTCGGGAGTGACAGGACAGCGGGGAAGGCACTTGCCTGGCACATGGCCAAGCCAGGGCCGATGCTGCCCGGCATCCCCTTCGGGTCCCCTGAGCATCACAGGGGTGATCCCTGAGTGTGAAGCCAGGAGTGACCCTGAGCACTGCCGGGTGAGGCCTTAAACCACAAGGAACCCTAATAGACCCCGATATGGGGGGGGGGGGGACAGCGAGGTGTTGGTTGTCATTCTCTGCCCCTCCCACTTCCGAATCCCACAGAGGCAAAAGAGCAGGATGTCTTCCTCGAGACCGTGGCCCACCCATGGCAGGGTGGGTGGGATGCAGAGGTTACTGCTAAAGTTTTCTTCGCTGCCCTCATCTCCCCAGTTTCCTCTCCCCGGCCCCCCGGCGCCCGCTGAACCCAACCAAGCTCTCTGCCCTGGCTTGTAAGCATAACCCCGGGGGACAGGGACGACGCATGCCCCCCCCCACTCCTCCAAGGAGACCCCCTCCACCCGGCATCATTTCTGGGACTTGTAAGTGGCTGCCGACCACGTTGCCCGGGGCCCCGTTCACCCTCACAGAGCGTGGGTACCCCCCGCCCCAAAGTCTATTTAAGGGGCCACCCTTCACGTTGTCTTCCTGGGCCCCCTCAGCCCCCTGGCTGGGAACCTGACACTGCGAGAGACCCCACCGGGCCCATAGCAGGGCCAGGGCCAGGCCCCGAGGCCGGGCACCACCAGGTCACTGGCCAGCAGGCGTCTTGCTCTCTTGGCTCGACACGGTGCCCTGGACTCTGCCCCGATGTTCTGGTTCCACTCCGGGGGGCTGAGAAGTTGAAGCCCCCCCTCCACCAGAGAGCTGCTCTGCTGTCCCCCTGCCACCGTCCCTGGGATGCTGAGACCCACGGGGAGGGGGTCCCCGGGCTAGACGGGGCGCTAGAGCACCTACCATCTCGCGGTGGTTGGGGTAGAACGTCTGCTCGATGAGCGGGAACTTCTCTGCCCCCAGCGTCTTGTAGAGCGCGACCAGCTGGGCGAACTGCAGGGAAGAAGTCACAGGGTCAGCTGCCGGCCCAGCGCGGAACTGGCCGCTGAGCGCCTTGATCCGTGGGAGGCTCTGTGCAGAGCACCGAGGGTGAGGGGAGGGGCAGGGTCCCAGGGGGGAGGGGGAGAATCCCAGGGGGGTGGGGCAGGGTCCCAGGGGAGAAGGGCAGGGTCCCAGGGGAGAGGGGCAGGTCCCAGGGGGGAAGGGCAGGTCCCATGGGAGAGAGCATGTCCCAGGGTGGAGGTGCAGGGAGGGTCCCAGGGGCAGGTCCCAGAGGGGAGGGGCAGAGTCTCAGGGGGAGGGGCAGGTCCCGGGGGGAGGGGCAGGTCCCAGGGGGGAGGGGCAGGTCCCAGAGGGGAGGTGCAGGGTCCCAGGGGAGAGGGGCAGGTCCTAGGGGGGAGGGGCAGGTCCCACGGGAGAGGGGCAGGTCCCAGGGGGGAGGGGCAGGTCCCACGGGAGAGGGGCAGGTCCCAGGGGGGAGGGGCAGGTCCCAGGGGGGAGGGGCAGAGTCCCAGGGGGGAGGGGCAGGTCCCAGGGGGGAGGGGCAGGTCCCAGGGGGGAGGGGCAGAGTCCCAGGGGGGAGGGGCAGGTCCCAGGGGGGAGGGGCAGAGTCCCAGGGGGGAGGGGCAGGTCCCAGGGGGGAGGGGCAGGTCCCAGGGGGGAGGGGCAGGTCCCAGGGGAGAGGGGCAGGTCCCAGGGGGGTAGGGCAGGGTCCCAGGGCGCACACGCTCCCGTGGTGGGGTGCAGGGGAGCCCGAACGCACCCTCGCCAGGTCAGGTGGCAGGGCACAGGCAGCACCTGAAACCACCCAGCTTCAAAGGGGGTGGCTGAGAAGGGATGGCAAAGGGGGTAACAGCTGGAGGGGGGGCCTGGACCTCCCGGCACGTGGCCGCAGAGACGGTGAATAACCGCATTGGAGTTGCGAAGTGCCGCGTGTTGGCAGGTGGGCACCGGGCTGAGGCCCCCACGGACGGCATGGGGTTGGGGGGCGAAACAGACAAGTCTCTGGACGTAGTCCCCGTCTCTGCTCCGTGAGAACCCAAGAAACCCCGCGGGCACAGTGCCAGCAACATGCCCGTGACCGCACCCGGTGTCCCCACATTTCCGAGGTGAAGAGCTGAGGCCCAGAGACAGCCCTTGGCCGGTGACAAGGGAGCGGAAATATATTCAGGGCCACAGCCTCGCCCCCCTGCACCCCTCCCCATCCCCACACACATGCCTCTCGCAGGCCTGCAGACCACACATTCCCCTAGAAATAAAGCCCTTCCTAGGGGTGTGTCCACGCGTGCACCCCTGCGTGCTGGAGGCAGTAGGGAGCCAGACTTCCCCGCTTTGCACACTCGGTCTAGCGGAAGCTGCAAGAACGGACAGCCGTTGGACCAAACCTGCCTTCAGCATGTCAGCAAACAGAAGGCTGGCACGCTGCTCCAGGCCACAAGTCCCGTTCTCTGTTAGGGATGCGGGCACGGGGCTGGTGCGAGGGGCGGAGGACTGGGTCACAGCTCAACTGCTGTCTCAGAGCGGAGCAAAGCAGGGAGGAGTCGCCTGGCATGTGGCCAGCCTGAGTGTGATCCCCGGAACCCCGTAGGGGTGTCCAGAGCCCTTTCAAGGAGTGATCCCTGAGCACAGAGCCAGGAGTCAGCCCTGAGCATAGCTGGGGTGACCCAAAAATAAACAACAAAGAAAATGGGGTGGGGGGGGAACAGGAGCAACAGAACAGCAGGAAGGGCGTTTGCCTTGCACCTGGCCTGCCAGGGTTCGATTCCCAGCATCCCATAGGGTCCCCCAAGCACCACCAGGTGTAATTTCTGAGTATGGAGCCAGGAGAAACCCCTGTGCATCGCCGGGTGTGACCCAAAAAGAAAAAAAATGGGGTTTGGGCCAGAGTCGCAGTACAGTGGGGAGGGCACTTGCCTTGCACATTTCCTACCTAGGCTCGATCCCCAGTGCCCCATCTGATTCCCAAGTCCCACGAGGAATGATCCTTGAGCACAGAGGCAGGCATAAGCCCTAAGCACAGCAGGGACGGCGGACCCGGGGCTGAGGCCGGGGGTCCCCATCACAGAATCCCGAGGGCCACTCACAGCCCAACAGCCGGGCGGGGGGCGGGGGTCACTCACCACCCACGGCTTGTCGCAGAAGTTGTAGATGGACTCCAGGGAGTTAACGCTGGGCAGGCCGGCATACTGCATGCCGATGACCAGGTGGCGGAAGTCCTCGTTCTCCGCCATGCCAAATGCGTGCTGCCGGATGAGCACAAAGTCGGGCCGGAAGGACCTGGGGGGAAAGGGTGGCTGTGAGCGGGGGCCGGCGGCCGGCCCCCTGAGGCACAGCTCCCTGGGACCCCCATTTCCAGAGCCTGGGCCTGCCGCGGCCCCCGATCCACGGTGACGAGACGGTAGTGTGTCGTGAGGCGGGAATGAGGGGCTTCGGGGGCGGAGTGACGCTTCCCTCCAGGGGAGATGGGAGCCCTTTCAGACTGATGCCCCAATGGGCAGCAGTAGCCCTGCCGTGCCCCCCCCCGTCCTGGGGACGGCAGAGCCCACATCCCTCCAGGCGACACCTGTGACCAGCCTCACCACAGCTGCAGCCCCTGGAGAGGCGTGAGGGCTGCTCAGAGCTCTGGGGTCCAGATTATCCCGCGCCCGAGGTCACCCCTGGCCCACAACCGGCTGCTCAGCCCTGGACCCGGGGCTCTGAGTGCAGACGGTGACCGTGTTCTGGAGAGCAAGTCTGGGGCCCAGTGGCTGCATCCCATGGACAAAGCCCAGCCTGACGCTGCCCCCAGACCCGGCTCACTGTCCAGTGCTCCTGAGCCTGGGCTCCTGACTTCATCGCTCTGTGCACTGGCAAAAATGGGGGCTTGAGTGCCAGGAGGGGCCACCCAGATACTCAGGGAGTGGCTGCCAGCACCATACAGACCCCCGGGCCCCCGAGAAAGAGGCCCAGTGCAAGGCAGCAAGACCCTTGCTCTACTCCATGTGCGGCCATGGAAGACCCCAGCCCCTGCCTGGACCCCCCACCTGAGCCCCCACACCGCAACACACAATCTTCTCTGTCCTCCTCGGCCCCTGAGGTGCCCGGACTCCCATTTCCTGCTGTGAGGCCCCGGCCTCCCTGAGCACTGCAGGCTGAGTTAAGTGGCTGTGAGGAGCAGCCTTGGGGTGGCCCTGACAGTACCCAGAGAGAGGGAGGGTTGAGACCAGCATGGGTGGCACAGAGCCAAGGCAGTGACGACACCATGCTCTGCCACCGAGTCCCTGGGTGGCCGGAAGCAAACCCACGGGCACTTTCCAACGCTGGGACAAGCATGGAAACCTCCCGCCAGCGGGCAGAGCCCTGGGGGGCCGAGCCCAGGGATCCCCAACAGGAACCGGGTGCCCCGGCGTGAGCTCGGAGTCCAGGAGCTGGCCTCCCGGCAGCCTCAGAGAACCTGGGCAGAGAAGCCCCCTACTGGGTGCCTAAGACCACCAGTAAGCCAGGGTGGGGTCTGTGCAGAGGGGGCAGTGGCCCAGGGCAGCAGGCCTTACCGGACAACCTTGGTGCCGTTCCGCAGAACCTGCATGTCCACTGCGTAGGTCCCATCTGCGTGGGCCACCAGGTTGAGCTCTGAAAACTCTGCCTGCAAAGTAAACGGGAGACCCAGAGGGCAGTTATCTCTCTGTGCATGTCCACACATGCGCACGCACACACACACACACGCACACACACATACCTGTAGGTACACACACACACACCTGTAGGTACACACACACCTGCTAGTACACACATACACAAGTCTGCAGGTATACACACACACACCTGTAAGTACACACACACCTGCAGGTACACACACATCCCTGCAGGCACACACACACACACCTGCCAATACACACACCTGCAAGTACACACACACCTGCTAGTACACACATACACAAGCCTGCAGGTATACACACACACCTGCAAGTACACACAAACCTGCAGGTACAAACACACCTGCAGGTACACACACACCCCTGCAGGTACACATATACACACCTGCCAATACACACTCACACCTGCAGGTACACACACATACCCATAGGCACACACGCACACACACAGCAGTTGGAGGAAGTCTGGCCGTGCCACATTCTCTGCAGAGCAGTGCAGTGTCAGCCCAACACTACTTATTTGGTTTTCAAAACCTTTTCCACACACTCGTGTCTTTCACTGCCGCTGGCTGGATGGCTGAGAAGCGTCCCTTTATACCGAGCGTCTCAGGGCAACTAGCGATGGACAAAGTAGGTGGGTGGGTGTCCAGACTCCACTGGCATTGCAGACACCTCTGTTGCACCTCTGCCGAGTGGACACCATCCCCGGTGTCCACACGGGAGGGCTTCAGCGAGGCCACTGGGCTCTTCCCTGCCCGCCCGTGGCCAGCCGCTAGGGCACAGGGCAAGTCACCGTCCTCCGGCTCTGAGCCAGGAACTGTTTTTTTATTTCCCTCCACCTTGCCCACGTGGGGACTGGATGCAGGGTGGATGGGGAGCACTGTGAGGAATGAGAAGGAACTGCCCTTCCACACAGGACACCAGGCCCAGTTGTATAGGCCCCCCTCCCCCCCCAGGAGTTACTCTCTCTATCATGGAGCAAATGATCAAGGATCAAAACTGGAGAGGGGCAGGCAGGGGCACCCATGGGCTCCCTCCAGAGGGGAGCCTCAGGTCAAGGGGGACACCCTGCAGGCTGTGATGGTCTCATAGGAACCCCCACATGGAGGGGTCAGTGTCGCGGGAAGCCGGTTCTCTGTGGTCTCTCCACCCCGAAATCTCTGCCTGGCCAGGGGCCCAGGGACCAAGAGCCCAGCGCCACAGACATGGGTAAAACGAGACGAGAGTGATGCAGCGGGAGGGACAGCCCTGGTGTCCACTGAGAGAGAGGACAGCCCTGGTGTCCATGCAGTGGGAAGGGACAGCCGTGGTGTCCCCTGTGAGTGAGGAAGATGGGCTGAGGTGGGCAGGGAGTGGAGACGAAGCCCTCGAACAGGGCTGGCTGGCAGCCCCACTCAGCAGAGCTGGACAGTCATCCGGGGACAGCGACAGTGGCCAGGCCTGGCTCCGGGCTGCTCACCTGTTCCACTTTGATGTCATAATCTCCGAGGACCTTTTTGCCCCGAAAGCATTTGGCCCTGAAAAACAGCAACAAAACACATGCACGAATTAGTTTTGCGCCCGCACCTGAAGTCAGAATTGCTCTAGGAGAAGGCCAGCCCGGGGGGGTGGGGGGGGAAGGCCGGGGGACAGAGGCCAGACCTGGTCAGAACTGGCCCCGCCCGGCTCCCGGACAGCCAGTGACAAGGCGCTGCCCCATGGCACACTCAGCTCTCCCCGAGTAGCCTGGCCAGGCCCAGGGCCCTGCTCCCCTGGGCCAGCTCGTGGTAGACATCCCCAGCCTTCCCACTGTGGAGGACGGAGGACGGAGGATGGAGGACGCAGGACTGTCCCCAGGTGCTGTGGGCGATGCCCATGCCACCCCTCTTCTGCGTTTCCCTGGCTTCCCCAACTTCCTGCTCCGTCCCCACCCTGGCAACCTGCACTCACAACCCGGCCTTGTCCTGCCCAGACTTCCCGTGAGGATTCTGGGACGGGGTATGATTCACAACAGCAGCTACAACCAGCAAGGATGAGAGGGAGGTCGGTGAGCGAGCTGATCACACCGGGAACACAAGCAAACAAATGAAAGCCAGGCAGCTGAGGGGTGCGACTGACGCCAGGCCGAGGGACACAGCCCTCCCCGGGGACGCACCCCACACTCACACTTCACCGGCCGCCCCTGCCCCCCAGAAGCAAACGGGAGTGGGGGTTAAGCCACGCATTCCTGCTTTGCTCCTGGCATCCCCTCCTCGCACCTGCCAGATTTCTGTGTCTACTGGGAAGGTGGGAGCGGGTCGCCTGTCCATGGTGCACCAGGCCGGCCTCACTTCCCGCCACGGGCAGCCCAAACCCAGGAGCTTCTCCGGAGGTTACTCAGAAGCCCCAAGAAGGGGACAGCGCAACGGCTGTCCGGAACGGCTTGGAACGGCTGCTGCTGGCAGGGACTTTCCCCTGAATTCTGGAAGCGCCTCCTTGGAGCTTAGCCGGGAGCCAGCAGGGCGGTGCAGCCCCCACCCCCACCCCAGCCAGGCTGGGCCCCAGGTGGCACGAGGGGTGTCACCGCACCCGTCTCTCTCTGCTGACGTTTTCCTCGCCCGCCCGAAGGGAAGTAACCACGCTGGCCATGTGTGCTGAGCGCGTTTGTTTTTATTTTCCTCTCGTTTCCGCCGCCCTCCTTCCACTCCAGACCCTTCCCCCGCTGGTTCCGGCCCCCCGCCCAGGCCCGGGCCAGCCGGTTTCCTTTCCCTGCTGGGCTCAGGGACAGGCTGTTCCAGGAAGTTGTCATTTGTCCTCTCCGAATTCCCTGGCCCCCTCAAATTGCTCCTCAGAGACCCTGGACCATCCTGGCGCTGGGCCCCTGCGCGCCCTCCCCTGCCCCAGTTCCTTTGCTCAGCTGCGTCACTGGCGCCCCAGTCCGTCCGCCCGCCACCTGCCCCCCAACCGCCCCCGCCAGATCCTGGAGTGTGGGTGGGGGTGGGGGTGGGGGTGGTGGGCACCAGGAGGAAGAGCAGCTGGAGAAGCTGGCCCTCAAGGACCGGTCCTTGCACTGAGCAAGGTGCTCTCGGGCCTGGCCTTACTCTGGACACTCCCCCCGCCCCCAAGACCCCTAGGGCAGGCGGCTGGCTCTCAGGGGGCAGTAGCCACCCGCTCCTCTGTGAGACACTTTGCTTTTTCCAGCCTATTCCCAGCCTGAGTTCTTCAGAGAAGTGGGGAGGAGGCTGCCGCCCTCGGCCTGGCAGGGAGGCCGAAACCCAGAGCCGGGGAGTCACGAGTTCGAATCAGAGCAACGTCCCAAGCGGCTCCACTTGGAACAGAGAACCTAGTCTAGGTGCTGATGTGCCACCAGGCTCCGGGCTGGTTTTGTGTCCGTTTTCTTTAATTCCCTCGTTTAGGCTGTGGGATCCGAGCACCACCAACCACGCTGGAGAGTATTAATAGCGTTCCGGCTGGGCCGAGCTGCCACTTCCTGTTCCTGCCTGTTCCCCAAGTTGGCGGGGGAGGCCGTTCTCAGGCTCCTCCCCAGCCCACACCCCCCTCCCGGGGCCTTAATGCCTTTTCCTTAAGGTAATTCTTCCTGCTGGAACGCTCGGGCGTGTTTCCTGGCTCGGGGTCACTGACCTCTCTTGGCCGAGCGCCTCATCTTATAGAAAGGAGCCACGCAGGGAGGCAGATGGGCCGTCTCCTGCTGGGGAACACACACACGTGCTCCCCGCGCCCGGCCCCTGAACATCTGGGCTCCTGGGGCCTGGTGGAAGCGTGCGGGACCCCCAGCCAGGCACGGGCGCTTCCGCCACAGCCCCGGAGCGGCCAGGAAAGCGGGTGAGGGGGCCCCCGGGTGAGGCCTCGCTACTTCCCTTCCCGGCTGTACTGCACGGGGCAGAGAAGTGACTTCAGTGAAAACAAGAGCCAGATGTGCTCCGGCCCGACCCAACAGGCTCCCAAGTACCCCAAAGCAAGCGGCTACAAGCACACACTGTCCAGGGGAGGCCGGACCCGAGCAGAGCCGGGCAACGCGCGTCTGCGGGGAATCCAGGACACCGGCTAGAGAAAACTTCTCTGGGCCTGGTGGTTCGCGGTGGTTGGCTTCCACAAACACATTGCAGTGATGTGGCTTGAGAGTCGGCCAGTGGGCCACGTGGCACACAGCACCACGTTCCCTCTGAAGACAGGACGGGGTCATTTACACCAATGGTTGGGGCCTATCCCATGTCCAGTTTCAGGGTGGTTGATTCCAAGTCCCGCTATTGTGGCTGCCGTTTTAGAATGAATTCGTCCATAGATTGAGGAATGAACTTCCCCAACTGTTGCTGACGTGGGAATGACAACTCAAAGCACATACTTAAGTCATACCACGTGGTCTTTGACATACGTGTGTATGTTTGGTGGAAAGGGATTGCCAATCGGTTTAGCTAACATAGCCCTCACCTCGGGTGTGTGTGTGTGTGTGTTGTTTTGAGGGGGGGGCGGTAGGACTGTGTAAAAATCTAGTGTCTGCAAACCTCATGTCTTTAACATGTAGAACTGTCCTCCCGTTGTCCTCCCGATTTGCTCGAGTGGCCCAGTAACGTCTCCATCGTGAGACTTGTTGTTACTGTGTTTGGCATATCGAATACGTCACGGGGAGCTTGCCAGGCTTTGCTGTGTGGGCGAGATACTCTCGGTAGCTTGCAGGGCTCTCTGAGAGGAGCGGAGGAATCAAACATAGTTTTACTAATTATACCCCCCACACCAAGCCTTAAGACAAAGAACTGCTTCCAGAATTGATGGTCCCAGGAACACACACATGAAGGTTTTGTCGCTGTTGTCACCCGGTACCCCACCCAAGAAAAACTGGCTCCCTCTGCCCACCGTTTGAAAGGGCAACAAGACTTGTGCAGAGCCGGACAACGGGCATCCGTGGTGAATCTAGGATGCCCAGTCACAGAAAGCACTTGTTTTCTCCCCTCCCCCTGCTCCCCCCACAGTGCTCACTGGCGCTGAGCACCAAGAAGGAGCCCGGGAAGGACTTTGCCTGATCAACCCCATCAACCCCGCTGTGCTCAATCCCCAACAGAACCAACGTGTACGTCCTTAAGGCACAGCCTAAAAATATCCCTGTGTCTGTGCTGGCCATTTCCCCCCATTGTGACGCTTTCTTAACAAGCCTAGCAGCTGAGGCCCGTGAGTGTGGCGGCTTTGCTGCTTCCGGGAGGGGCCCATCTCCCCTCATTGCTACCTTGAGTAGCCGCATCTGGACCTGACTCTCCTTACTCTCTCCTGACTCCCGTCCAACTGCCAACAGAGTCCCTGAGGCCGAGGAGAGCCGTTTTGGGGACCTCGGCGGGTGGCACTGCAAAGCCCATCAGGACCCACAAGAGCAGGTCCAGCTTTCGTGGCCCCTCAATTCTGCAAAGAATCTGGGGAAGGGCTCCAAATAAAGGTGGGGCGCAGAGTGGGGCTGGGTCTAGCTTCTCGGTCGGACAGTTCGGGACGCGTCCCTGTTTGCTTGTGTCTAAGTTGGGGCTAATGAACATTCAAGTGGTGAGAAAAAAAACACACCACGCCGAGCGTCTCGGAGACTTGGCTTCACAGGGGAGCGGCCGACACTCAGGCTGCTGCGTGGGACATCAGAGAGGAGCAAGTGCCACATGGTGCCTCTGTGGCCTGGAAAAGCCACACAAACCGGCAGAACCAGAAGCACGATGCGGCGAACCTCGGGCTATCTGCACTGACCACAGTCAGCCTGGCTCCTCTTCTGAGCTATCAATAACGTCCCCCATGTCCTGGCAGCTTCTGCTCCACTGTCATCCCCAGATGCCACATTTCCCACTCCCCGAATTGCCGCGGGACACCGTTCCCCCACCCCCAGCCTCAGACCCACTGGACTAGGAAATCACGCTGACCCCTCACAGGGGCCGTGCCCAGGGGAACCTTGGGCCTCCCAGAGGTGACAGATTTCAAATCTTCTTTCCCGGAGTGATGGTCCAGCGAGGAGAGCGCTTGCCCAGCACACGGACAACCTGGGTTTGATCCCCAGCATCCCCTAGGGCCTCCCAAGCACCGCCAAGCACCTGAGTGCAGAGCCAGGAGGAACCCTCAGCATCCTTGGGAATGGCCCCAAAACAGAAACCAAAAACATGGCCCATTCTTTTTATTTCCCATTGTCTGGCAGCAGGTTGAGTGGCAGCTAGTGAGAGCCTCGGCACTGTGGTCCCGGGTGCCTGGGAGGGTCAGAACCTCCACCGACAGTGGCCGTGAGGATGGTCAGCATTGAAGCAGTCCGGCTGAGGCCGGAGGGGACTCAGCGCCCTGGGGCCGAGTCTGCTGTTTCTCTCTTGCGGGTTCTCCTGGGGAATTAGGTGTGAAAAATCTCTTCTCAACATGCGGCCACGGAACACCAGTCTAGGTTCCCGACTAGGCGACAGACAGGCCAGAGGACCAAAGCCAAGAGCAAGGACAAGCGCGTGGCCTGCGGGCTCAGGGGGATGGAAGTGGGGAGTGGGGCTTCCCCGTTTGGGCGTGGGTCTCTTTCTGCACCATCCAGCAGATCCCAGCC